TAGATCGGTGGATCCCTAGATCCTTGCATCCCTAGATCGGTGGATCCTTAGATCCTTGGATCCCAATATCCTTGCATCCCTAGATCGGTGGATCCCTAGATCCTTGCATCCCTAGATCGGTGGATCCCTAGATCCTTGCCTCCCTAGATCCGTGGATCCCTAGATCCCTAAATCTCCTAAACTCCTAAAGTCGTAGAGTCGTGAATCTCCCTAGATTCTAAAATCCTTACACCTCAGAATATATTAATTAAAGTTGTTACCAATTTTTAAAAAGTTCTCGGTCTCGTCTTGGTCTCGGAACAAAATGATAGTCGCTGTACATGCATTATTCAGTATCTTCGATCACTGTCAAATCGAACGTCATTTGTAATCTTTTTTTATTTTGTAACCCCTCATTTTTATGACGACTTATGCTACTTTTTACAGCGCCTTAACGACTGCATTATTCATGAACATTTAAACCTAGTACTTGCTTTTCAAAATTCTGTTTGAAAAACTTATTTTCATGCATTTCAAATGAAATTGAGAGAATCGTATTGAAAAACATGAGAACATAAATTCGTAGAAATATAGGAGTATAGTGATACAAGGTTTCACGAGTGTACATCTCAATGTAACACATTTACATTCCTATATCCTATAAAATTGTCTCGCGTCGTTGTCTCGTGTGCCAAGCATAGTCATTCTGTTACTAAAAATTGCTTGACGGTTTCCTGAACGACTGTTGACAGTGGATAAACAGCTAGTACAGAATACACGTCATTTCGTGGTATTTGCATTCTGGCTTAGCAATGTTTGCGAGTAAAGAAACGTTGCGGAACTAACCTCGTTCGTTTTTACCTGAACATTTTATTATACACCATTTCATTAAGCTACATTTTCTAAAAAGTACAAGTTTTATCATTTTTGAACGCATTTCGTTTTATGAAACATTCAAAGATCCACCTTCGATTATATGAATTGAATTTCCCGCCTAATTGTACTGTACACATTTCGCGGGAAAATAAAAATTTGAAATGGCGCCATCTGTCGGAATGCGCACGAAGCTACACTCCTGTAGCTCGAGGACATGAAAGTGGAGGACGTAACCGGTAAAAGTGACAAGGATAATGTGCGAGGACAGATATATGTAAATAGCTCCCTTACTAATTCATAACCGGATAAAAAACAAGTACTTATTCTTCGCGCATGTGTTGACCTTGTACAATTTTAAATACCTCTTCTACTATCCTGTTCTCTAGTTACCAGGAGCAGCATAGAGCACACTCCGTTAGATGGTATTGTTCACATTTTTTATTTCACCGCGAAATACAACCAAACTTTGAATTGGTATAATAAAATTGTGGGAATATTGATTTAGTTATTTATTTATTATTTATTGTACTCTCACAAAAGTGCAACTATAATATAAAATATAATAGTATGCGAAAAATATGTATTTTTCTTATAGGTATGAATTTGGCTCCAAAAGATGGCGCTTATGAGACTTCCATACATATTGCTTAACGAATCTGTATGTTTGAAGCTGTCTATCCAATAGTAAGCTTAGTAGGTTAATTGTAAACTACGTTTTATTTTCTTGTAGATATATTATGAAAATAATATCTATGTTCTGAACTATCGTTTTTGAAATAGTGTATATAGAAAACGTCGTGTGATGTAGTGTGATTGGTACTAACTTAAAAATTAATTTTATTTTTACTTATTTTAAGTTATAACTGTTGTGTACATGCCAAACAATAACCGCGAAAGTACTAAACAGTAGCACGTGTATATTACTACTTTTAATACTGTATAATTAAGATATATATTAATATATAAGATTTCTATTTAATGAAGTCATAACAAATCTGTCCTCATGATCCTGTCAAATATGACTGATTTAGACGTGGAAGATTCTTTAACAATATTAAATACTCAGTTAAACAAATCCATGGTTCTAATGGACACCACGACAGAGGGTGAAATGCATCAACCAAAAAATAACAAATCCATCAGAATTAATACAAAAATTCAACCACCTAATCAGTCTAAGTCCCCTTCAACGGCTAGAAAAAGTATTTTGAAAAAACCTGGAAGAACAAATGGTACTGAAACGGAGCAAAGTATAGAAAGTAGCCAGGACGTGTTAAATAATTCTGATCATAATAAACTGCCAACAAATACAGCTACTTTAAGACCACGTAATGTAAGTAAAATTAATTTTTCAAATGGCTTGGTAGTAAATCATAAAATTAATTTTGTTTTAGATCAATGATTTAATTCAAGAGGAAGATTTAGTAATTGAATCTACGGATTCAACTTTTACCTTAGATGATATATCTGACAGTGAGGATATATGGATAATGGATATTCCTCGAACAGTGAGTTAAACGAGTTTTAGTATTTAAATTGTAAAGAAAATGGAATAATAAATATAAGTCTTATATGACTTTCAGATAGATCCAAGAGAATTAAAAAATCAAACCTTAGTACTTGGAGACAAATCAAAATTCAAAGTTAGAGAGGAACGGTACTGCACAGTGAACAATAATGTTAAACTCAGTACAACTTGTGTATTTAGTACCAACAAAGTAAAATCACGATTTAAAACTGGTAATAATTTCTATATCTTTGCTTGAAATAAGTGATCCAAGATTGTAATAAATACCTTTATTGTTTTATGTGCAGTTAATATAAAACCAGCAGGTGCAATTACAGTTAGACGGAAACTTTCAGGAGTTCCAAAAATTAAACCAATGCAGATAGAAAACTGTAGTGTACCATTTCCTAAGAATTTGAAAGCACGACATCCATTGTTTGGTGTAAATTTTGAAGGTAAAGTTAAAAAGGATGCAGTAAAATAACTTATCTACAAACAGGTCAATAGTGGGGAAAAATCAATATTATATATTATATATTGCTCGAGAATTAAATTGTGATCAGGAAATTATATGCTGTAGTATTTGTTAATAATTTACAAATATTCTTATTTTTTTATAAGAAGTCAAAGTAACAGAGCATAATTTTATTGAGGTTCTATAAATATAAAATAAGCTGCAAGATTAGCTTTGTATTTTACAGAATAAAATGTGGTGTTTGATTTCGTTAATATTAAAAATTGACAAAGAATTTAGCATTAACTCATATTTATGTTGTATCAATTTTACATCTGACTGATTTAAATAATTTTAAAGATAGACTTGAGTGCAATGTAGGTTCCCTATGGATAAGGGCAAGTATAGGGGTAGGAGTATCATATATTTCTCTTCAATTGTGTGAGTCCAAGTTTGTGAACTTGAAATTTTCAAATTTCTAAATTTGAAAATGCTCTATTGAATGATTCGAAGTCCCTTTCCTTTACGTCGTTATCTTCTATAGGGAAACCTACTGTACAAGATGTGCTGATGAGAACATACCTTGTTGTATTTAATATTAGAAATATTTGACGTCAATTGTTGGTACCATTGCAAGAACGGTTACCCACTATTTCCGGGTGCGCGCTAAATACAAATCACAAGAATGCATGAATACAGAAATTTATAACATAACTACTTATCATTGTCAAAAATTTATTTCAAATACCTACATTATATCGTCTACGAATACGGATTCGTCATTTTAAATAAAAAAAAATTAAAATCAAATTTTAATACGCCTAACAATGCAATCGAAATTTAGTCGATGTGCGCTTTCAGAATCCTTTACCTATGCGCCTCTCGTTAAATACCAGTCTATGTAACATCCGTTTCTGCGCAGTCGCGGTGCGCATGCGACCAGGTCTCGAAGACTGTACAAAAATTTCCCAGTAGAGAAAAGAGATTTGTTAGTGGAAAAGTTGTAACGTAAGTAAACAAGAACCGAGAAGTTTTGATCAACGAATGTGCGAAGTTAACTCTAGACTCGACGAAAACGTTAGTACGTGACCATTGAATTCCAACAACCGTCGCAGAATCGCTTGGTCTTACGAAGTTAAGGTTAAACGAGCCAGGTATACCCTGTAACCAGTTCAGGGTATTTAGCAACCCCTCTGACGACAAATCATTCAATCCTTTGTGACGTTCGCGGCCAATCGTAATACGTTGATCGCACTGCTGCAGTTTGTTTTTATATAAACCGCATATTAAAAAAAAAGACGTGTGTACCGATCAAGATCGTATGTACTTGTTTGCGTTCGAGATTAGGATTTCGTTTTCAGAAAGTAGGTGTATGTACAAGATCGGTGAGAGTCTTTTTCTTTCACGCGCAAGATCAAGACAACGTCCATTGGCTAAAAAGGGATGAAACGAATGATGGCATCGTTGTTCTATCCATCTTCCTTGTGTATTCATTTCTCTCTCTCTTTCTCTCTCTCTCTCTCTCGCTTTACTCCCCCCTCTTTCCCTTCGCCACTCCTTTCGTTACTTCCATTTCTCATTCTCTCGCTTGCCGCTAGCCTTTTCCCCCCTTCAAAATCGTATCGCGAATCGTCGAGACCATCGTCCTTGCGTATGCGAATAGTTTGTCTTCGAAGCTATACGGAATTTACGTGTCATTCCCCACCACGCAACTTTTCGCAGATTTTCACGTAGGTTTCTGCTATGGCGTAGTACCTCTCACTCGCTCCCTGACGTTTCTTCGCTTCTCTCGACGCCACCAACAGCTGTTTCGTCCGATCGTCGCCCTCTCGTATAGTTCGTGTCTGGCCATACGAGCGAGAGAGAGAGAAAGTGAGTGGGAGAGCAGAGACAGTGGCCCTACCGCAAGTTTTTCGTCGTCGATCAAAGCCTCGCGTTATAAACTTGTCATTTTTACGTCCACCGTAAGGGCGTACGCGATCGTTTTAATCGCTCAAGCCGTGGAGCGTCCTTTGTTCGTTTGACAGCTCCTGTCAAACGAATCCTTCTTTCCAACTGTTCGTCAAATCTGTCAGCCAAACAGTCACCGTTTCCTATTATTCTATTTTTTCTCAGTACGCGCTAATTCGAAAATAATTATATCGTTCGAACATACGTTACGAGGTTTATCTGGAATTACTTGAAAACAGCGGCTAGTACGACCGACGACACGTCTGACTCATAACATTCCTACTCTACGACAGTTTAACGTACAGTTATTTGTTTCAGATTGTATGAGGATATTAGCGTGTAAGAAGTTACAAGTACAGTCAATTACATAGGATCAAAGCATTGTAAAAACTTTGCACGTAAGTACATCACATGTATATCAATGTGTTCTGTGTGGACAATCTTGCATCTGTTATTCAAAGCATTTCATTGAATATGTTACGTACAATCATTTTTGAACATAGTGAATATGATTTTAGTCGTATGATTATTTAGTAAAGTATGTTTTGTTTCATGATATGTTAAAAATGTAACTCACAACTGTACATGTCCCTTATACCATGTATTAACTGCACAACATATTTTTAGCATTGTTCTAAGTTTAATACAAACAAAACCTATACATTTCATTATTCCATTTGTTTACAGGACTATAAATAGAAAAATCTTGGTAACTTACTGTATTGTGTGATATAAAAGATAAAAACAAAAATGTCAGTATTGAATCAAAGCGGGGAAGATGCAGTGGAGTGTCCTTTGTGTATGGAACCATTGGATGTGAATGATTTGAATTTTTTTCCGTGCACTTGCGGATACCAAATATGTCAGTTCTGTTGGCACAGAATTCGTACCGATGAAAATGGTTTGTGCCCTGCCTGTCGGAAGGCCTATTCTGAAAATCCTGCCGATTTTAAACCTTTGAGTGAGGAAGACTTTGCAAGGTAGATAACACTCATTGTCTAAAAATCGTGAAACATACAATAACTAGTGTGTGAATGTTTATACATTTATAATATATCGGAATCTGCAAAGAATATGTATATGTATATATTTTGACATGGACATATATTCTCTTTGTTAGATTAAAAGCAGAAAAGAGATTAAAAGATCAGCAACGTAAGCAAAGGGTTACAGAAAACCGTAAACATCTAGCAAATGTGAGAGTAGTACAAAAAAATCTAGTATTTGTAGTAGGATTACCATTGCGACTTGCGGATGCTGATGTGAGTTCAAACGCGAATAAGCTAAGTGAAATGATGACAGTGTTAATGATATATAATATATTTGTATTAACTATTGCATAGGTATTAAAGCGGCACGAATATTTTGGAAAATTTGGCAAAATTCACAAAGTTGTAATAAATCAGAGCACTTCCTATGCAGGGTCTCAGGGCCCTAGTGCTTCGGCTTATGTTACCTATCAAGTAAGTATCCAACTTTTATTATTATTGCATTTTCAGATTCTACATTTATGCACAGTTTAAATTTTTAAATTTGTATAATATTAGCGTCCGGAAGATGCACTACGTGCTATAGCGGCTGTGAATAATGTTGTTATGGATGGACGAACAATTAAAACGTCATTAGGAACAACAAAGTATTGTTCACACTTTATGCGTAATCAGCCTTGTCCAAAACCAGATTGTATGTATTTACATGATCTTGGGGACCAGGAGGCATCGTTTACAAAGGAGGAGATGCATCAAGGCAAACATCAAGAGTACGAGCGTAAACTTGTGCAATCGTTACATGCATCACATGCATCTGCGCAACGGTAAGTTCTTTTGTTATATTTAAAACTATATGAATATATTTTATTCAAATATATTTGAAGCCAACTTGTAACAAATATCATATTTATATTCCGTAGGAAACCAACGCCATCACCATCTGTGACGGGTAGTATTGTTCGAGAAAACGGAACTTTAAATTCTCAAGCCAAAGAAGCTTGGCCATCGTTGCAAACTGGACAGACAAATAGTAAGATGTTACTTCAGAAAAATGTAACTTTGAAAACAATGTACTGTATTTGGTTAGTTAATTGGTTGATGTTTATAGGTACACAAACAAATTGTAAAGAATTATCACCACCAACGCAAACATCGTCACAATTAAATAATGTAACGAATGGTAGTGGTACAATCAATCAAACTCAGGTATCGTCAAGTGGAACAACGCAACAACAGACCAACAATAATAAAGGTGAACCTATGAATTTACGAAGGGGCAAAAGTAATAGTGAAAGTAAAGCACAGGCCGCGCGGAATAAACATAAAAATTGTCAAAATAAAGAAAAACATAGTACACGGACAACTTCCCGATCTGAATCAAGCTCTATTGGTACACAAAATAATGTGCAATCACAAATGAATGGACAAAAAGATATTAGAAATTTTTCCTCCGAAACGAATAGTGACGTATTACAAAAGTTGGGTAATAAGTGTAAATCAGAACAACAGCAGCCACAACCACAACAGCAGCAGCAACAGTCTCAGCCGCAGCAAAATAATAAAGGATCTAAATTAGTTCAGCAACAGCAACAGTCTCAAGACCTTAAAGTAAACGGAGTAGTGCAAAATGGAGAGCGCCGACATTCGGATAGTGAGACAGATCAACAACGCGAAGGTAGTACACCGGCTAGTACAATTTCAAGTACAGAAGATTCAAATGCGAGTCACCAAGTGGAACATTTAGCAGAATCAAGTGAGGAGAACAGTGGTGCTGCTATTTTGGGTGAGTTTCTGATATTCGTGATTATTTCTATATGTATTGATTTTCTGCTTCTAAAATAAATATACGAAATAGTTGAATTCAACATAAAACATAAATGAAAAATGTGCTAATCAGAAAAAGAAAGACATTACATTTGCTATTATTAAGATTATGTATTTAAATTTATAACATAAATACCTGTAGGAATATTATTGAAATGAATTTTTGTTTGTTTAAGTTTGGAAATTTTAGAGATAAAGTCCAAACTTTTTTTTATTATTTTTTTTTTCTTCATTTTATGGTAATTTTCAGTTGTATATGTTTGTAAAATACCTTTTGTTGTATGAGTATGCGAACATTTTCTACATATTTCTTTTAATGTCTCTGAAATTTAACGAAACCTACATTTAAAATAGAATATAAGAAAGTTTATGATTATGCAATTTAATCAAAATAAGAGAGGCTATTTATAGTAATTGCCATGTTTAAACCATTTTAATTAGTACTATAAAATGTCATGCAGAGTACTTGTAATTAATCACAAAACATTCTACATGTGTGCCTATATAGTTTAACATTGTATGTTATATTTACTTTAAATATATGAAACGACAATTTTCGAACAATGTGTAATATGTCGATAACATGCAAGTGTCTTATGGCTATGTCTTATAACTGTAGAATAGAACATAAATAGTTATAGATATATGCCAAAATAAAGAGAATTCTTTAAAAAAAAATATAGTAACTGTTTTTTGTGTTTCTGTACACACTTGACTTTATCCTTCTTGTAAGTTATATCATTTGTGCATATGTTAGATTAAGTGTCTGGAAAATATATATATTTTCCTTTATTTCATGTTACAAAAAACTTACAAAAAAATCTGATTATGTATCTATATTAAATTATGTCTTTGTAATCTTTGATTTAAAAATATCCATACTTGTGTACTGAGTTTTCCAGGCACATTTATGCATTGTTTGAGATTCATTAATGGTGGCAGAGAGGAATAGCATTAGTAGCTGTTTATTCTGGCATTGTATCCTACAAAATGATTTGATCACGTCTCGTAGTGTAGAGATTTGTGCGTATCATCTTTAGGTTCCTCTCCAGCTAGCACAAATTCGTCACAAGGTGCCAATCAACAGCCACCACCAGGACTACATAATGGGTCTCAAATGCAACTCAATCATCGGTCGATCTTTCAAACGGATAATAATAGTTTCTTCAGTTCAAATAATTTCCAGAAAATCTCTACCACTACCATTGTACCACCTACTTCTTTGACAGGCATGTACATATAGTTTTTCATGGTGTTGCAATTATTACATTTTAATTTCTGTTAACCAATTTTGTGAACATACATATTTTGTATGAGCTGCATTATAAAGAAAGTAAAATTAATTTTTTGAATATGCAGCAAACCCAAATTTGAAGTGGACAAGCACAGGCTTAACTTCAATCCCTGACTCGTTACCATTGGTTCAATCAACTGAAGATTGGCAAGCAGCTTTTGGTTTTCAACCTGAAACTACACGGACAAATCATGTTGTACAAAAATCCAGTCCTTCAAGTTCACCAGGAGTAACATTCAATTCTGAAGGTTTTGTGGACGAGGAAGTTTATACTAATTTACAATATACTACATTATCGGAACCTTCTGCTACTTTTACATCAAGTTTGCTTGTTAATTCACCTGCATCCAAATTTATGGCAGACTTTCAACAAAATTCATTACAACAAAGGCTTGCCTTACAAGTAAGCAATTCAACTATTGGCAATTTGATACAACGGTGTATGTTGCAAATTACAATTAATAATAATAATTATAATTTCTTAAGGCACAACAAAATCAAGAGAACTGCGAGTATATAAAGCAAAACGGTCACGCTACCTTAGGAGAAGTTATAAATCATAAAGAATCTGGTTCTGATATAAAAGCTGACGATGACTTAGGTTTTGATCCTTTCCACGAAACACAAAAAGCTTTAGCTGAACTTATGGAAAATGAAATGCAACTTCAACAACAGAGGTTATTTCAACAACAACAACAGCAACAAAGAGAACGAGAAGAGCAAAACAGGGTACAGCATCAACAGAATATTGCAAATCTTGGTCAACAACATTTTCCACAAGTAATTGACATTTCACTCTGGAATAATATATAGATTGCTTAAAAATAAATGGATTGTATATATTCTCATATTCCATACGTTCTTGTTCAGGTTGCCCATATAGCACATTTACAACAACAGGCTCAGCATCTGCAGAACCTACAAGTTCTACAACAATCGCATTCCCTGCTGTCTCGTCTTCCACAGAATTTATTACAAAGTGGTACGCAAAGTCCTGCTCAGAATAGTGTGACTGCTGCCAATTTGGGACAACGTAGTCGCCTTCCACCACCAGGTTTCCCTGGTTCTACACCAAATCACATGAATTCTTTTGGTCTTGGTATACCGCGACCAGCTCCCACGAACAATGCTCTTTCGGGTTAGTATTTTTGCAATTTTGTCAATAATTAACGATAACAGTAAACGTATTTACTACGTTAATACAATGAACATTTCATAATTATTTCAAAGCATACACGATTACCTATTTTTTTTAAAACATCAAACAATGAAACAGTAAAGGTATAATTTCTCTGTAAATTGGGAATAATTAGTTGTGGCGAGCAATAGTGTTATCCAAGTATAAAAGTGAATTCTTGTGACTTTACAAAGAATTAATAGAATATTATACATGAGTTATTCGTCTAGTGTGCTGTTTACAGGAGCACAGCCACCACAGCAAAATGCCTATCTTCCAAATGGAAATCCTCTGTTGAATTCGCAAGGTAACTGTCGAGAAAAATATTAATGATCTCTTATCTTTTGTCATATGGCTGTTGAAACATTCAATGATATTTGAAATAGGTATTAGTAAATGCGCGGGTGATGCAGTTTATACGCTTAAGGATTGGTGTGATATTAACAATCAACAACAACAGCAACAATTTCATCATCAAGCATTACATCAAAAAGGAGGATGGAACAATTTTGGACCTATTGCAGACTGGACTTCGATTGACCCAGCTATTGTTAGTTCTAGGCCTCTTCCATTCCAGACTACTAGTACATGGCAATTTCCACATGTTCATCCTACACATACTGTATCACACAATGCGCAACAGGTACCAAATGTCCTTGTTAGTCATATATTTTTTATTATCATATACGGCCAGCTTGACGCTAAATACGATACGGAATGAAACCATTTTCTGGCGATTCTTTTTAATTTTTTAAGCGGATAAACCGAAAGTGATGAGAAGCGGGATAATAATCAAGTTTCTAGGTTCCCAAATTTCCAAATTACTAAATTTTCAAATCCACAAATTTCCAAATTCCCAGCGCTGGAGTTGGTACCATATGTGTGCTATTTTAAATGTCTGCGTCAAATTCGTATTCCAACTTCTAAGTGCTATGTTTACTGTCTACTTTATATAGGAACAGAATGGACCTACTCAACATTGGGCAATGCAACCACCTCCAGGTTTTGCTGCACCAGCGACTACAGGACAATTGAGTAATCAACAACCAAGCACAACTGCACAGCCGCACACCAAACTTATCTCTGCAGGATCGGAAATTGAAAGTAAGTTCGTCCACCTGTAGAGAAACTATTTTGTATTCTTGGACATATTAACTGTCATGTATTTAAACACCCACATTACAGATCTATAAATAAATATGAGTATGTGAAGTGTACAAGTGGCATCCATATGAGACAAGATGAAAGTCAACAATGATATAAAAACCCGACAGTCTGTTACGTACGTTTTCCTGACCCGTGTCTATACCTTTCAATTAATTTTATTCTAATACTTTATTCTGTTCTCACTGGATGAGTATTTGTCATTGAATAAGTATTGAAAGAAATATGGAATTTAAATGAAAGGGAATATAATTTAATGAATACTTTCGAATATATGCGACGAATATACTCCTATATACGTTCTCGATAATATTCTTATATATAATCTATAGTAAAATTCGAACTATTTACAAGTCTGGCAATCTTACTACGATTAAGTTTGCGTAGGTTGAACGATAACAGGTATCAAATTGAAGGCGATGACCTTGATTTAATAATTAACACGTTAAATAAGATACTTATGATGATAATTATAACAAATTTTTGTGTATATATTATCCAAATTCAAGTAAACATATGCAAGCGAACACGAGAAATGCTTTATTTGTGTAAATAACATTTTCAAAAAAACATATATCATGAGTAAAAAAAGTGCATATAATAAAAATTCGTCGATAATTACTATTTCTTCTCTTTTTTTCCATGTTATTAATAAATTGTTACGTTTAAAATAGGGGATTATGATCTGAAAAAATCAAAATGATAATACTTAACTGTTCCTTTTAAATATGGTTTCGTATTACGTTTACACTTTTAAATATTCTGGCAATATCAGAACAAATTTTTTTTAACAAAATATCTATTTGTCTGTCCCAAACAAGAGGTTTCTGTTATATATGTATGATAAATATGTATTATTATTGTGAAAATTAAATTCGCAGATAGTTATATCCCAATAAAACAAAAATTTCTCCAATTTAAACCATAATATCTTAAAATTTATGTTCATTCAAAATTTTCCAACTTTTTTAATCCTAAAACGGACTGAATTCAGAAAAAGAATCAATTTGATTTTGTAAATATCATATAGTGTATCTCATGAATATTTTACAGTCCTTGCAATCGCTTTAATTTTAGAATATAAAAAAGTTGAACAATTCTTTTCTAATTAATATGCAGTATAATAATAATATGCAATATGAAAAACAGTTTAGATTAAGAATTAATAGAGCAGAAAGGGAATGCAGTGACATTAAAATATTGAAGTATCAGGGTCACTAGGTAGGCAAAAATCTTAGTTACAGCAATGAGTATAAGATCTTATACTTTATTTATTTATTAATTGCTTGAAAGCCTGTGCCAGACAAATGTATGATTTATAGTTGATACTTCATCGCATTTGTGTAATTAGACGAGTGACTAATGGTTTCGTAAAGTGTAACACTTTATCAAAATTGATAAACCAGTCGGACATACATAGGATTCAGGAAACTACGAGCAACTGTCGAGATGATAAACATAAATAGTATATCGGAATCTCGAACATATACAAAATAAGTACCGATGTATAACAACATATGTCTGAATGATAGTACTATAATACGATTCGTTATCGTCGAATGATTAAATCCAAAGCAGACTGTTAAACGTATCTGCTGAACACGGCTGAACAACCACGATACATATACAAGAAAATGATTGAGATAATAAAGATATAATTATAATAAATTTAATTGAGTTAAGGTAATCGAGAAATATACGACATGCGCAAGAAATGAATGAAGAAACACGTTTTAATTCACGAGATCCTTCCGTCTTCCCCTTAAATATTTTTTTAATCAAATCTCGCATAAGTATAAATAATTATTTGCATGAATATACATTTGAAAATAACTACTCATTTTCCACGTTAAATTCACATTTATTAAATTCTGATGTACAAATAACAAAATATCATATTCCAATAACATGTATCATACGTTTGTTTATAACTTGTATATAATTATTGAAGATCGGTACAATGATGATAAATAATGCGATGTTGAACATATTTTTCAATACATACGCATTCCTTGAATAATGATGTAAAAACAAGATGTACATATTACGTACATACAGGTAAGGAAAACTGATATTTCAACTTTCCATTAAGTTTAATTTCTATTTTATCCTTTCAAGTGAAAACATCACACTGTAAGAAACTTTTATGAAGTTATTACTACTTAACAGGTTCTAATACGAAATACTCCATATGCAAGATATATTAACAAACTCTTATCTTAGTATTCCGATGGTTATGATTTAAGTTGGATGTACATGTTTTATAATGACTAGTTATACAAAAATTTTAATTAAGCATTACATGTTATAATTAAACGCCCCTTAAAACATATGAAGCAGAATATTCATTCAATCACTTTGCGAAAATAATTTACGTTCTGTTTTTTTTAAATATTCAGTGTCCATGTATTTTTCCAAATTTATATCGATAAGAAATAAACTTTCGAAATTGATTTATACGTATATATAAATTTTTAAAAAATTATTATCTGTACCTCAGTCAATTGGAAGTTCATGATAAATAGCTGCCTTACTATATGGTCTTTCTTTATACCAGAGAAACGAATGTTATCGCCACTAAAAGCTTAAGAAAATTTGTAGCATAAATAATTGCACGCGGCGATGTAACGCTAACAAGCTATTGGAAATATGCACCTGGTTTGTTAAACTAATCTTCGGTCTCTTTGTTCAATTTAATGTACCGATTAAATTATTCGTTTGCTCACTTTTCTTTGCTTTTCAAGCGTTTACGCAACAAACCCCAGAATGATCTAGGTTTTAAGTTGTTTTGAACTGCTGTAAATTTCCACCCTATATGAGCACCACAATTTTCACACATAGCTGCTGTCCAAGCATACCTATTTAAAAAAATGCTGATTTATGCAATAATTCTATGTAAATGGAACATATAATTAAAACAAACCTTACCCTGGGAACCATGTATATTCTACTGAAGGTTGATTGGGACTTAATCTAAGGCCCTGCGCGTGATATAAAGTCACAGTTTCATATATGATTCCATCAGGATTACAGTAAGTACCCAGTGGACCTTCTTTACTCATTGGGATCATTTTTGATTGCCTTCCAATAAGAGTATTACAATCGCAACAAACAAATAATTTATCCTACGAGATAAACAACAGGATTCATTAAGTTTAAAATTTAAAAGGGAACATACTTATGCGTCATAATCTATTAATTTTACATACATCTACCAAATATGTGATTTCTCTTTGCAGTCTCGAAATTGCACAGTCATAATTTAATAAAACAATTCTTTCATTATCATCTAGTAACAAATTTTGGGCAACCCAAAATGATAGATCTGTAGGATTTTCTGGTATACTGCTTCCCCCTTTGGTTTTTAAATCAATTTCGATAAAAACATTACATGATATTACATGAAACATTTTTTAAAATATATAACTTACTGCTTTCAATAAACTTTAAATGCTGTCGTATTTTTAAAGAAAGTCTTAAAGGGTCATACTGCCGGTATACCCAACCAGGCCAAGGAGTAACTACAGCATCTAAATTTTCTACCCTTTCCTGTTTCTTAAAATCTTCCTCAGTTTTTGCATGTATCCGTAAACGATCTAACGAAGCTAAACGTTCATCCAAAAATGGTGGGCCAAGTGTTATTTCTGGTAGAATTTTTACATTGGCTAATAGTTGATCATAACCCTATATAATTAATTAGATAATATTTAAAGATATGTAGTAAGTCCAAAAAGAAAAATGTAAGTAGAGGGTTTTATGAATAAACTGGTGAATAGTTTAGTAATAAAAATAAATCCAACAAACAAACCTGTATTATAACTCTCAGAATTTTGAATCTTTGTCTGCCCTTAGCTTTTAAGCGAAAACCTAGATTACGGTCCTCATACATACATTCATAGATTTCTGCAGTTGTACCTATTGGTGCCATCATATCATCCCAAATGTATCCCAAACATACAACAGCTAAAGTTTTGTTGTTTCTGATGCAAGTAGTTAACATATCAATGGTGTGTTCATCGAACACAATCATAGGTAGTGTTTGACCAGGAAATAACATAACAAAATCTTTGACTACCAGTGGCAAGTTCATGTAAATTCCATCATCTAATATTGTCCTTCCTCTCAGTTCTTCAAAATTATGCCCTAAATACTGGTAATACACTTATATATTATGAAGAATACTAATCCAATATGCATTGTATTTATAAGATATCTCCTCTGCAATGAAATGATCAGATAAGTTCAAGAATATTGAAAATTTCAATACATACAGAACAAATGTTACTTATTATTACATTCTATCATTTCGTTGCAGAGTACAAACACTTGTTACAAACTTACAGAATGTGTTGCTGGCAATGTCAAATCAAATGTACTTTCAATGGATACAGATGTTTCATCTGTATTTTCTTCTGAAATATCTTCTTCTGCATTGTTTTGTCTGTTATCTAGATATAGTAAAAAGGAAGAAGTTTTTAATTTATGTTTATTTTCTTATACTAAACGCAATATGAGTATACAAGAAAGGTAATATACAATAAAATAAGGATATAAAAATATTAACTTCTTGCAAATATATGCAAGATATAAAAAGATTTAAAAGTATCTAGAATGCAGGGAGCATTTTATAAACTGCTGACACTTAACAGTTTACGTAGTCGCAACAATATGTGGAACAATTAAATACATAACCTATACATTTTTAAACGTAATTTAAAATATTCAATAGCAAAATTTAAAATGTTATACCTAATTCACTAAATGTTTCATCGTCTTCCACATTGGCATCCATTGCCAATCACGTATTTGTAAAGATTTTACAAATCTTGGAAAATTGTAAACAATCAGCACTTTCCTTCTCGTAAACGTCAACACCATAAACTTCCATAAACTCTCTTTTGCTACTCACCACTCATGTATTACGACAGAATGCGATCATTGGTTTACATGAATGAACATTGTTGAAGATCGTATACTAATTATTCATGTTTTAAGTAAAATTCAGTCACTAAAGTCTTTGCTCTTTATTATTAATTATTAAAGTAATGAAATAACCACGATTTAAGAATTAACAAGTGTATTTACAAATATACATCAAGCTTATTTTACATGAAAAATGCAATATTCACGTCAAATTCAAACACTACCCTTATACTTCAAATTATTTTAAAAGTGAATCAACTTTTGCGCATTATTTGAATCAGATAAATAATAATATATTATGTTTGTAAAAATGATATGATACCGTTTTTATTAAAAGGAAAAAAAAACAGAAAATTAGAACAAGAATGAAGATATGTTCATAGAAAATAAACAACAATATATTTGGTAATTGTTACATGAGCTACAAAAAGTATTTATAACAATAAGAGACTTTTTACAATTATTTAAACATTTAAAAAAGGTATGAAAATATTATATAATATTTTAGATAAAGTAGTTACAGCTATTAATTGTGCTTTATATTATTTACATAATTATTTCTTTGCAGTGATCTGTTGTGTTATCCATGGAACATAATTATAGACATTTACGTAGACACCAGGAACATTACTGGTTGCACAACCAATACCCCATGCTACCAGTCCAACAACTTGCCACTGATCATTGCCAGATTTACATACTAATGGAGAACCACCATCACCCTAAAAAAAAATGACTCATTTGATGATACAAATGTAAAAAAAATGTTTTAAAACAAACATATTGATTCTTAAATTTCATATGAACATATCAGTATTATAAAGATGCCAAGAATTTACTTACTGTGCATGCATCTTTTCCAGTTTCTCCTCCAGCACATAAGAAACTATTTTGATCGAGAATAAAATTTTGTCCAAGACTGGTGCTTTTAAGAGAAGTTTCACAAGTTGATTGATCAACAATGGGTACATCCACCTCTTTCATTATACTCTGGTATCTTCCATTTGCACCAAAGGCATTTTTACCCCATCCTGACACCCAACATCTTGAAGGCATAAATAGGTAATGAAATAAATTTAGCTTTTACTTTGAAGTAAGAAATGTTCAATAACTTTTGCTATAACTTTGTATGTATACCTTGTATTTTTAGCAGGTATTGCCACAGGAAGACAGGCAGTATTAATATTAGGACTACTTGAGATAGGTACAGTACCACTTAAAGTTATTATTGCTACATCATTTCTTAAATTAACAGAGTCATAATTAGGGTGTATGGATATTCTTTGAACTGAATATTCTTGGTAGGGATTAGGTTCACTTGTAGATGTTGCATCCCACTCTCCTAATCTTACTTTAAGACCACCATTTCTGTAGAATAATATATATAAGTTACTAAGTTTACTTGAATAAATTAGATGCAGTTTACTTACACATAAGAAGCCACTTTGTGTGCAACAGTGAGCACATGATTTGGAGTAATGAGTACACCAGAACCAGCATAAACGTTGCCGCTCGTTAAAAGTACAGCTTGCCAAGGATATGCTCCAAAACTAGCTTGTCCATCACGACGCGCGGTTACAGGGATTTTTCTAATACCGCAGTTCCCGTCAATTAAGTTTCCAGAAGTAGATGAACAGCAGTATACTTGTCCAGCATTGCAATTGGAAGTCTTGAATATTTTTTTAAAAAATTCGATCAAAATGACATAATGTTCTAAATTATGTTTTATCGTTTATAAATTTTATACGCACCGGAGTAACTATTCGAATATCAATGCCACCACTAGAAGGTGGACAACTACCCGTTGGAACACAACAACAGGACATACCATCTTAAAGTAAAATACTTGTTAAGTAATATTTTATGCGAAATAATCAGTCAGATTAAATAACTTTAAACATTGTAGAAATTTGGACCGTAAAGCACACTTACTTTGTGTACTTGTTGTCATAGCGGATGAAGAACTACCAAAGACAATCGGATCTTGCGCCACAACACAATACCGTAGGACGCCAGCAATGAACAAGAGGAACAAACTTCTCTCAAACATGATTGAATAGCAAACTTAAACAAAGTGATACAAAGTCAAAGAGCAACAGGACTCTGCCAGCAGATCTTCGTCAATTTATATAAAACAAGCATAAGCAAGAGTGACCTTTAAACAAACATATTAACTCGTACATCCTTTCGGAACGAAAATAATGCTGACGGCCTTTCACAGATGGAAGAGCAGCAATTCTTGTCATGACAATAAAATGGTGTAAAATATATCGGTCGGACAGTTTATTGTAAACTACTTCCGATAACAATTATGTCTTCATTTATGAGTGGAATGATGTCACAATATTGTTGCATTTTTACAGCAAAAAATGCTTAGAGTGGAACGAAATGGAAGGTCAGACGCGCTCTAAAATGAAGAAGGTCAATAATCATAAATTCTCGGTACTTGCGTTATGAATCAGATAATTATTTTGGTTTTCCCCTTTCGTCCTTTTGTGTTGTATAAGATACTACTAAAACATGCATAAAGAGTCTGTCTACTAGTATTAGAAAATACCAAGAAATTATTTGATTTCAGAAATGGTGGCAATTTTGGGAAATACATTTAAGGAAAAAAATTGAATGTAAATAAGGAAAAAATTGTTAGCTTAGCTACAATTTTATAAATCATAATAACGAATAATAAATCTGCATCATTCGCTTTATTTATACATCAAGTTGCTACATTTCTTCGGTTCGAAAGTAGTATTCTCGCAATCTGTTTATATCGACTTTTTCTCTCTTTTTTTTTTGTTTCTTTCCCGAAAGCGTGAAACACTTAAAATGTTATTGCTCGCACAGTCGTCAATTCAGCGAGACACTAAGCACATCTGAACTAATACAAGTACGTAAATACACGAAGATTGCTCGAAAAGTTGTCTGATGTCGTGTGAACTAAAAACATAAATTTCGAAAATTCACCGTGAGTATCGCCTCTGGTATCAGTCAATGAGTTGTATCGTGTCCAGAGGTACGATTGTAATTGATTGTAAATTTGTAGAAACTATCTAACGTGGTCGCGGTATAAGAATGGTGCAAGAAGGTACAAAAAATATTTGCAATATTTATATTTCTCGTAACAGAAATTGTTTGAAGCACACTTTTTGCACCATCTGATCCTCTCGCTATGCCTACAAAAAACGCAGTAAAAAAAAACTGCTTTCTCTTCTGCTTTAGAAACAGAAATTCGTATTTCGTGAGACAAGACCAAGACCAGATAAGATCATGACTTAAACTTTAAACGTATTTAAAAAGTCATATAAAATCAGAATTAATAGCTTCCTAACTAAGTTGGTACTTGACGGACAGTGCCTAAGAGGTAGTATCAATTTTTTCTTCTTGTATTTGCACTGATTATGGTACAATCAGTTTTTCCGACCTCCACGTCTCTTCATAGAAGATGTACATTGAGGACAGTACCACTTGCCTTTTGGCGGTGCAGTGATACCCACACATGGATAGTGAAACCATTCAAAAGGACACTGCAGGAACAAAAAATTATACCAAACGTATTATTTGATAACATGAAATGCTTGTGTTTCACACATAAGGAAACGCAACGAGGGATAAAAGTGCGGCTTACATCTGAATTGTCACAGGCAACCATATCTCCATAAGATACTTGATTACATATACAATATCTTGGTTCGTTTGGATCGTATGTCCAATCTGGATTATCCGAATCTACTACTTGTGTATTCGTAGTTATAACTGGAGGTGATACTGGTTGCTGTACGGAAGCAGCAACTACGCTTGAACTCGGAACAGCAGTTGTTACTTTTCTAAAATGCACAATGATCATTTATTCGATGGAAAAAGATGAATTTTCAATAATCTGTCGATAAAAGAGGCATACTTTTTATGCTTCTTTGTTGTTTCCTGTATAGCTGCAATAGCGGTTTGAGCAGCTCCAGCTAGTTCTCTGCTAAATTCAGCTGCGTGTACACCACCGGTATTGATGGCCTCATAACTAGCTTTTAAGCTAGCAGTACGTCTGCCTTGCTGCATCTGTTGCGTAGCAGCGATCGCTTGCGAAGCTGCAGCTGCTATGGCATTTCCACCAGCTCCTATATGACCGAGATTATAGCTAACAGAGCCGACAGAATTCGCGATTGCAGTAGGAGTAGATGGCACGCTAGTAGCGGCAATAATTGGTCCTGAATTTGCGGAAGCTGGTCGCGATTCAGGAAGACTTGGAGAAATTTTTTCTATAGCTAAGCGTTTTTCTATCGAAGTGGAGGATGCATTTGAATCTCTTCTCTTTTCTGCCCGAGCTATGAAAAAAGGACATGTAATTACAAAATATTTCTGAGATTGGATAATATACAATTCATAATAAATATGGAATAGAATAATATACTTACAATGACTGTGATTGTCTCGTGACCTACTGGATGATGTAAAGCTATACCGATTCTCTTTTTGACTACTATTCGTTGGTGGTTGATCTAATTCTAATGACCTCTTTTCCAATATTTCTGTGATACCTTTATTATCTGCTTCTAGTTCCATTTTAAATTTGTGCAATTCCTGATCTAATCTCCTCAAATATCTATCTACTAAGTCGTACATCTGATTGGCTAAGTGCACCTTTTCATCTGCATCCTCCAAGGTTTTGTAATACTCCCTTCTAATGGCTTCATACTCTGCCTCTTTTTCACTAGGTTTCATTTTCTTTGCATTTGAAAAAAATGTTTTTACTTTCTTTTCTAAACTGTCCATTGAATCTGCAACGATTGGAGCATTTTATTAGCAATGGTCCAGAAAACAATGAGAAACATATTTGCACGTGTATATTCCAGGTTTTATATTGCACAAGGTTGCACGTACTCTGTACACCTAAGTCCATTTCTCTCATTTCTGTGAATCGGTCTCTTAATTCTTGTGGTAGATGCTCAATCACTGAAACCGTAGAAGAACATGGTCAACATAACCCAACAAAATTAGTGAGAAGGAGCAATTATTTAATAACAGGTAATGTCTATCACATTAGCAGAACTATTATAACACTCATACATTGGTCATGATAAACATTACAAGTTAGAATTGAGCTTCAAAATATATTTATAAAAGTAAAAAAGCTATTGACCGTTCAGAAAACATGTAACTAACCTAAAATTTACATTGAACCGTGTGACAACTAATTGTTCATATTATACAGTACTTAATATCATAGAAAAATACGAAGCGGCATTTAAAGCATTATATATTATAACGTAACATCTACTAAGGCATTCATTTTCTGAAAAGTTTCGGATGTTTTTATGAGAGAGTATATTCGGGAAGGTTAGTAACTTTCTTGAGAAGCTGGGTAAGCAGACCATGCCTCGTTTTTACGTACTTTCGACATAATCTTCCAAGTAAAGCATCCTTTCGTGCTGGCGTTTCGTTGCCTGGTACTTAATTTACAATTATTTACAATTTACTAAAGGGGAGTGCTTGCCGCCGTGGCAGAATTAACGAAAATCGTAGCACTCGATCGGAAGCGTGTTTACGGCGGCCAAATCCCTTGTTGTACCCACATTTTCACGCTACTTCTCTAAATGATGCGAATCTATAAATGATCTGTACGAAATATCGTAAGAAAAATGTCATTTTCGCGAAAATAAGTGGCCCAGTAATCCGTGCATTCGTAGTGACGCTTTTTATTTCGGAATTATTACTGGTCAGATATCTATTGCTTGGAATCCGCCATCTTAACCTAATGTTCAGGGGTGCCTACATGAATCTAGTTGTTCCAAAGGAACTATTTGACAAAAAAAGATAGGAAATAGAACTCTTAGTGTCCGAATAGACGAGTTCATAACTCGAATTCCAGCTCAAGAATCAAATATAAATATTATAATTCGAGTACTCAAATTTGAATCTGAATATTTAACTTGAGTACTCAGCTTTCTTTAGCGATTCGAATTCTCAACTTGTTCATAATATTCATATATCTGAGCAGTATTTAAATTAATTCAATTTAATATCTTCCAATATTATACGAGTAGTAATAAATTATTATAAAAAAGTAAATTGTTCAAAAATATAAATCGAAACATATACGATATAATTTGTAGAATTATTATCGTGACACACAGTTTTTGTTTAATCACGTTGTACATGATTGTGTAGGGTTACGGATTAAAGAAAGTAGCGGTTTATTCATTTGGCCTTCATTATCGACATTCTTCGCATACCAATCGGCGTGGAGCGTGGCTTTTTTATTGTAAAAGAAAGGTGTCGTAAACTTTTCCCGATAAAATGATACGGCGTAGCCCAACAAGAATTGACTTGCGACTAGATGATCTGCAAGAGTATGAAACGATGAGGAAAGCTCTTGAAGCCAAGAAAGAGTCTGAAAAGCAACCAACGTTCAATCCTCCCTCATGGGGTGGTAAAATGCCGCAAAGTGAAATTCAAGAACGCATCGGTTACATGCCGCAACAGAATCAAGCTTCTCATTTTCTACCCAATATATAGTTTTTTGTATTTATAATAAGATTAGCGAAATCTATCCTAAGACGAAGTGAATCACTCGGGTTTTATTTTTAGCAGTTATTTTATTATTACTAAAATATACATGACAGCATCGTTCGCTCCGTTTGATGGCTTAAGAAGGTAGAAATAATAGTGTATCGACAATCATTTAACAATTTACTACGCGTGTCGAGCGATTTAACAATGATGTGCAAGATCATGATATTGCAGCTTAATAGATATGTACGCCTAATTTATTAAGTAGAGACAAATTATTGCTGTGCGAACGTCTCATGTGACATAATTACATTTACTAATAGTATAATATTGTCAACATTTATGACGGTATCACGTACTCGCAAGAGACAATTGTTATTGATTATAAAAATGCACCATGAATATTCAATTCTTATAACTTAGCACAAACGACGAGACTTACGAATTAAATATATTGCCATGTAAATAAAAATGATCTGAAATGCGATATTGTCATATTTACTGGATAATATGTCTAGGTTCTTTCCGAAACGTTTGTTATCCTCTGAACCAGCAGAAAACTACAAATTCCCCAACTTCGAACTGTACGCGAAACTTTGTTCAATTCCATAATTAATCAGCTTACTATAACTCTGTTTAGAGGGTGACTGAGAATGTAATCCTGCAAAAGTTTTTATCGGGACTAGCGATTCTTGTACATTATAAACCTTTGTTAAAGTATAAATGCGTTGGTATCTCTCCGTTTTTACAATTCTTCTTTAGAAGCTCATAATTTTCGGGTTCCCAGCGTTCCAAAGTGGATGACTTAATGGAGCTACAATACATGTGTATGTAAATTTGAATGAAATATTTATTAACCCGATATCATTGGTGTAACTAGGATTATGCGAGGTAGGTCAGGGTCTTTAGAATTGCTAACAGAGTTATCGACCCATTCCGTGCATGATATTCGGACATTTGGAGGAGGAAAGACCCCTATTTCTTAGTTACACCAGTGAATGAAATATGCGCAAGATGCACACAAATTAAGTCGTGCTTACCAGTTTTGTGGGAATAAGGAACAAGCCGTAGGAACCATAAACGACAGACTGAAATAAGATAATATTTTTTTAAAAAGTTTGCGTTTATCTCGTAATTTTTTATACACAAGTAATATTTATAATAAAAGTACTTACAAACAACCGACCAGCAGAACTTGTATAGGCGCATGCAGCGGTTTAATCTTCTGCATCCAAGAGTATTTTTCCAGTCTTTCCATAATGGGTGGAAGAATAACTGAATATACAAAACCCAGTTTAGTGGTTAATTAGATATGCTAATGATTACGACATAAACTTTGTTTGATCTCACATTTAGTTTTAATCGATATCTACTTACGCATGCCAGGTGCGCACATAACAATCCTTGAGATTACTACTTGGCTGATGCCTTTGATCGCTGCTAGCTGAAACATTAATCGTACACATTTAATCCGAGATAAGATGTGTTAAAATCTGTTGCGTGCGCGGGTGGGACAAATCCCATGCGTTTTACAAATATATAAACCAATAAATCAAACATTGTAAAACTTATTTTTTAATCCTCTTCTATAATAAATAAAATACAACCTACTTTCGACTTTGTGAGTCTGTTGCCATTTTCATCGCTAATTTCAATTCCTTTCGTTATTTCATTTTGTCTCATCAACGGAATGTTTACACAGTTCGCGGCCGCCACAGCAGCGAATGGTACATAACGCTAAAAGTAGAATTTTTTATTTCTACTGAATTTTGATTAAGGAATCTTAGTTCTTAAATCGTATTACCGCCATAAGTGGATTTGCTCGTTTTGCCCAAAACGATTTGCATCCTATTGCCGTTAACATTGCAGCGGACGTAGCGCTAACATAAGCCACACCTAATTGAAACTCTGTTGTAGGGCTGTTAGCGTTTCTGTTAGTATAGTTGACTAACGCGTTAAACGATTGATTCATCCATTGCCAAAAGACCACAGCGGTAGTTGTTCTGCAATTAATCACAAATAAATTACAACCACAGAATGAGAAACATATTAAACATGTACATATTAAGAAAATACAACGTAATTTGAAAAAAGTCCTTAGGCAAATGATCATGATGAGGTAGCAGGTAGCATGTTGGTGCATAAAAGGGGAAGGGGATCTTCTAGGATACATGAAGGAAAAAATGAATCAGCGCTGTTGTTGGGTTATGTTGTTCCTGTAACGTATATTAATTAATACGTGTTATTTTCAAGAATAACAATAAGCATTTACCTATAGAATTGAAGCATGGCACCAGTGATGGCCATTCCACCCGGTACCTGAAAGGACATTCTCCCAAAGACATTTTGCAGTTCACCGGTGTCGGGGTGAAAGGACGACTCGTAAAGCTTTTTAGCGTAGATGATCTGCTCTCGGGTTGTACCAGCTGGCTCCTTCCCAACTCTGAGGTATAAACGAACTATTGATTTTTGCGGACACCGAAAAACAACAATAAAATATATGACTTCTTAAAAGAATCGAGGTTATACGGTTAAAACAATTATAAACATATAATAAAAATTTCGCTATATCCTTTAGACATTTAACACAGCGAAGTCCATCTATCGATAACTTCTATTACGCAATATCATTCTTTGAATTCTCCTCATACTCGATACTAACTGACGTTCACATTTCGACGAAAAAGTAATAAATTAATTAACATCAAGATTCCCCTTGAAACTCTAAGCATGTTATGCAAGAATTAAAAAAATTATAATAATTGCTTTTAAACTGCTAGATAAGTCTTTGTCTTATAGATAACACGCGATACGACGGTCAATTTGAATAGACTAGTTTCCCGCGCTTTTGTGCTCACCTATAGTCTTCTATTAGTTTCTTAGCTTCGAGCAGTTCGGATTCCGGAACGATACATGTACGGAAATCAGTCATCCACGCGAAGTATTTCCATCTTCCTACAAAGGTTTTGAGATCCCAAAGTGGCTTGTCTACGTCCAATCTTTCTTCCCCCATTATGCTCTCCTGATCGAGGGATAGTCGTCACCTCAATCCTTTCAACAGACGCGAAACATCATCGGTTAGATATAAGTGTAGACATTTACGAAAACTAAGCGGAAAATAAAGAAACCGCGATGCTGTCCGTGAGGTACGTTAACGTCATATTTATAGACGTCAGTGTGAGCTCACGGTGTGTTCTGAAATAGCCATAACACCGTAATATGTAAAAATATTGTCACGTAACACCGCGCCAAAATGAAGTATGCGTTCTCAAATGTTGATAAATGGTTGCTGCATCGCTCACCAAATATTGCGACGAGATCGATTTAACGTAAAGTGAGTTCTTTACATTCTAAAAGATCTTTTAATATCCTACGCAAGTTTTTTCACGTGGTTAAAAAACATCAAATAAGGCCGTCAAAGTAATTTACGATTGTTTTATCGCATTCATTCTTCTTGATAAGCTGTACATTATACCTCAACGTGTTTACCTTAACAAATGGTTAATACTCAGCACTGACGAATTGTTTACGAAAAATTAAGATAATACGATATTATGTAATTTAATTCCTTACTGTATATTAATGGGTGCGGTAGACGTTACACGAGAACGTTTAGAAATTTGGAAACTTTAGAAATTTTGAAATGTATAAATTCCAGCTTCAGAAATAAACAGTGAGAGATTTCTGTCATACTACTTCGTGTCCTAAGTAATGCGATACTTTTAAGCGTACAGATAGTACAGCATTTTAGTTACGTATCAAAGTTAACGAATATCATATTTTGCACTGTTGTATCTTTGATGCATAAAGTTCACTTTATCACATATTTATATAAGTCTTATCCACAACGTTTAAAAGAATTAATACCGTTTAAAAGAATATTCGAAAAATCGATCGTTGTAACCGTCAAGACAAACAATGTATATCGATTATTCGACACCGTTTTATATCGAGCGTTTCGTTCGATAGCCAGTGAGACTTTAAACTTAAAAGCGATACGCCGGTCCCATAATTATAATACATAATTATCAAACAATACCGAATTCGATCCATCGATCGATAATATCGCGACGCACGTGAGTGCATTGGATTTGTCGGCAAAGCCCAATGACCAATCGTGCACGCAGTATCGTATAGTTCACGGGCCCATTTCAAATCGTTCACAAAACATAGCATAACCTAAGAAACGTACATTTAACAGTTCGCGTGTTCGCTTATGTTCGTTTTCGTGTCCGTCGCCCTGTTGTTGTGCACAGTTTCTCTTTATTCACGACAACACACTCGCGTGATCGCATTTTCGTCCAGGGTTTCCCGATTCCAAAGCGATTATCGACCACGTTTGGTAACAACAGAAGAACCGCAGTCGATGCACGACCCACTTTCTGTCAAGGTACCGGCATATTTTCATTCAGAAACGACTACGCGAAGTGACGAGGCCGCTGTTCGTCTCCTTTTATTTCTCTTCGTTATACGTCAAATTACACGTGCACGCGTTACGTAACGTTATTTGATATGTGATAGGCACATTTTTATTCACTTACTCGTAAAATGTGTACCACTTCTTTGAGAGCCTGCTCCGGTCTGGATATTCGTTGTACGGTGCGCACCCCAGCTGATAGGACCCTACGCGAGCGCACCCTATCTTGATACAGCACTGCGCTTTACCCCTCCAGCGTGATTTCTTCATTATTGTTATTATCATCGTTTCATGCGCCCTTCCACTTCTCACAGAATCGTTGGATATTTGGTATTATCGAATAATCAAATGATCGATAATTTCGAGAAACACCGTGCTGTTATGCGAGGTGATGTATATGTTTTAATTAAATAATTTAGCCCGATGTGTAAATTACACAGCAACTAGTCAGGGTGTTCTTTATTTCTAAATTAAAAAATTTGGCAATTTGGGGAGTTATCTTATAGTACCATTTTCTTTAGGAACGCTGGGTAATTCACTGTATCTTGTCACATTACATCGCCATTTTCCTTAAATAAACTTTAAAGTACCCTCGACTGTAACTGACGAGAAAATTATCGTTTCGTAAAATTAGTTCACATAATAGGCAGTTAATTTTAATATCCTATTGTCATTCAAATTGTTTAATCATATAACCATAAATAGTTTTGAAAAAGCGACGAAAGATAAGGGATACAATTGAATATGCAGAGATGACGTAAGCATTTGTCAATTTCTCCAAGGTCTGCCTCGTCGATACGTATGGAACAATAACAAAATAGTGCTTTACTATATTGTTTATCAATCTGAATACAATAAGTTGCGTTTGACACCGTTCAATTTCCGGTGATAGAAATACGAAAGAGACAGTACATTATAATGCACGTAAGTACACGTTTACACGTCTTTGTTGGTCGCGCCAAAGATGTTTTCTTTTCTTATGTACAAAACATACATTTTGAAACTTCGTATTTATAATTGAAATGAACTCATGAATTTTCATTCGATTTTTTAAAGCCGGCTACTTGGAACTACTTTGTTTACGTTATCCTTGCTTTCCCCAGGTATCGAACTTATGAATATGTATCATTAACCTGTGGTTAAAATGTAAACGTTTATGGGGGTCTTATAACAGATATTCGAACACGTGACTGCATTGAAATAAATCTTGGGCGGCTGTAACTTTTTATTAACCCATTAACTTGCGAAGGTCGAAATATTATTCCTAAGGTAATACGTTCCATCTAAATAAGTAGTTAACACGTTTCATTCCGCTCACTCGATATCGCGGACTGGATTGCCGCTCACGCGATATCGCGTTCTCAGTATACCTCGAGATAGAAATTGACTCATCTTTTGTTCTACAGTGAAAGTATCCAGTATCCCAAACTTTTGAGGCTCGAAAACGGTCATTCATCCGCTTGTATTTTTCGAAGTAGCAATTTTCAGCTTGTTGGAAATTTTCAAGTTGTAAAATCGAAGGTAGAGCAACACGGGGATATTTTACATTCTCCACTATGAAGCAACTCTCGGAGGTAACTCCTCGTACCAGTGCCACTTTTTTCGAGCCTTACGGCCGGAGCATTTTTGTCCAGACGAATTATTAATCCAGAAGTTTCCCAATTTCGTGTCCGAAATTGAAGAACGCCTTAAACGCTCAATATGGTGTGCGCAATATTCTGAGTTGCGCAATATTATCGACATCGTACAGCTAATATCGAGGATGTGAATATGTGTGTACACATATAAACTGATCATATTTTCTGAAGGCGAACTTGGACAATTCTATTCAAAAGTCTAATCCGATCTGCATGGCTGATAAAATGTTTATTTCTGTAGAAAAAATAGATCACCAGGTCAAATTGTCTTTGCAACATAGTGGCGCTTTGCGAAGTCTACCAGCTTTAAATTATACATCGATGTGGACTTCGTATAACTATTACGTTAGAATCTTAACTGTTTGTTAAACAGTATCGATAAAAAGTTGTCTGGAGATAAAACTCATTAAGTCTCATCGTTGAGCTTTCGACCCTGTCTCTGGCAATTGAAGCTCGGTGACCGCTTCGTTAGATCGCGTCCAATGTCCCTTTTGTTAAAGTTATGAAACCGGGCCGAAGCAGGAGAGAAAGTTTAAACAACGCTTAAGTGCAGAGGTCAGCGAACAAAATCAAGTTCACGGTCGCTTCTGTCGAATTTCTGTATGCACACTCGTGTGCAACGTGTTCTTCCGGTTGACTAAGAAGTAGGAAAAGCTTATAATTTTATCAAGTCAAATGTGTAAGTTTGAAAATTTTCCCTCAACGGTCTACCGTGGTCATCACTGATTTTCTTTACTCGTTTTTTTTCTTCGCGTGGCAACGAAAAGTTAGTGCACAGGCCGACTAAAGCTGTATACATGTACACTTCCGTGCTCGCGAAAAGTAGAGCTCGACCTCGTTTGTCACGCGTCACCATATTGTAGCTAAAACCGTCGGGAATTATTGTTTCGTAATATTTTTCGTACAATTTTCGGGATGCTTGTTTTTACCGCTTGTCGCACGGCTCTCCCACGGCACTCCCTCTGCACTTCCGGTGGAGATGCTCCATTAACCCTGGAACAGTAATATCATTTTTTCGGCTCAAGTAGTAATATATATAATGTTTACTCGTACTGTACTACTATATTTCTGTCTCGCGCTTCCTCTCTTCCACTATTTCACTATTTTACTATTCCACTTAAATAAACCAGCTTTTGGCCATCTGCTCTTTAACGTGATATTCAAATGTAACTCTACAGTTATTACATACCAAATAAAAATTAATAAATACAACATAAAAATTGATAGATGCAAACTTAAAACTTAATAGACACGAAATAAAAATTAATAGATACAAAATAAAAATTAATGTATACAATATTAACAATTAATTACAAATACTTTACTAAGAGTATCGAATATCTTAAAGAATAATAAAAAGAGGTATTGTCTCGTAGACCGTATAAGACTAGCAAGAATTCATGTTTCAATTAACATCGATTAAGTTCGTCTCGTTCTTTGTTAAAATCCGAACTCGAGTGCCACAACAATGTTAACAATCAGAAAATTTCCATTTGAAAATCATAAATAACTTGTAGATACAAGGTAAGATTGTTAACGTAATAAATCGTGATAGAATATATTTCTATAGCTCATTCTTCCAGGCTGTCCCCACTGTGCCATAGAGAAAGAATGTTTCCGAAAAGTATGTGTGGAGTGGTGTATCTAGACCGGGTACATATCGTGTGAAAGAAAATTGTACATAAAACCAGCTGGCAAATGTACTGTTGACTGGACAAGATAAATCATCAGGGGAAATGTTCGTTCAATTACAAAACGAAAGATATATCGCTAAAGTAAGAGGTTTTAGTGCCTAACACACGTTTCCTTCTCTATGGGGTTTATGTGTGTAAGGGAAGGGCACCTCGTGTGGTTTCTACGGTCCTGAGACGAAGTAACAGTATCGTATGACTATACGTTAAATGAAAGGCCCGTTAAAAATGTTAGTTTTTGGATTTCGAATATTATATTATTTCTCGTAATAATTCGTATCAGAGTCCCCAAACTTTCGTATCCTGAAATTCTTAATTTAACTCCTTAAATTCTCAAGTATTCAAACTCTAAAATTCCCAAAGTCCGAAGTTTTAAATCCACAAAGATTCTCCATATACAATCATGGTATATGATATTGCCTACTATTATTCTAAAAAAAATACTGATCATCCGAGATTTGATAGTTTATATTTGACACATGTATTTCATTTAAAAAGATACTTCCAAGAAAAACGGCACTTTCGGAATATCGTTCGAAGATCGATACTAATATTTCGAACGATTTAATCGGTTTGTTATAGTACCGACTGTTAAAGATTACTGCTGACAAGATCAGTAACGGTCGGTTTACATTAACATGTGTAATTTTATTGTCCAGACTAGAAGAACATTAAAATGGCCAGGGTTCGGATAGAGCGAGGTACGGTGCTGCAGTAGTCGAGGTGGGGGGTGGTGCGACGCATGCGCAGTGATGTACTCGTGCCCAGCTGTGCACGAACGTGAAATGCGGCGCGGCTGGCGGTGGTGGCTGCTAGGAAAGCAAGCGAGCGAACGAGCGAGTAAGCGAGCAAGCAAAACAGGCAGAGGCTGCCCTCCTGTCTCCCCCACCCGTAGTATGCCTCGCAGAGCCCATGGCCTCCGTACACACGGAGGAGAGTGAGGCAGCCCCAGCCGCTCCTCACGTCATCCGTTGAGAGAGAGACGACGGGCCTCCAGCTGGCAAATGTACTGTTGACTGGACAAGATAAATCATCAGGGGAAATGTTCGTTCAATTACAAAACGAAAGATATATCGCTAAAGTAAGAGGTTTTAGTGCCTAACACACGTTTCCTTCTCTATGGGGTTTATGTGTGTAAGGGAAGGGCACCTCGTGTGGTTTCTACGGTCCTGAGACGAAGTAACAGTATCGTATGACTATACGTTAAATGAAAGGCCCGTTAAAAATGTTAGTTTTTGGATTTCGAATATTATATTATTTCTCGTAATAATTCGTATCAGAGTCCCCAAACTTTCGTATCCTGAAATTCTTAATTTAACTCCTTAAATTCTCAAGTATTCAAACTCTAAAATTCCCAAAGTCCGAAGTTTTAAATCCACAAAGATTCTCCATATACAATCATGGTATATGATATTGCCTACTATTATTCTAAAAAAAATACTGATCATCCGAGATTTGATAGTTTATATTTGACACATGTATTTCATTTAAAAAGATACTTCCAAGAAAAACGGCACTTTCGGAATATCGTTCGAAGATCGATACTAATATTTCGAACGATTTAATCGGTTTGTTATAGTACCGACTGTTAAAGATTACTGCTGACAAGATCAGTAACGGTCGGTTTACATTAACATGTGTAATTTTATTGTCCAGACTAGAAGAACATTAAAATGGCCAGGGTTCGGATAGAGCGAGGTACGGTGCTGCAGTAGTCGAGGTGGGGGGTGGTGCGACGCATGCGCAGTGATGTACTCGTGCCCAGCTGTGCACGAACGTGAAATGCGGCGCGGCTGGCGGTGGTGGCTGCTAGGAAAGCAAGCGAGCGAACGAGCGAGTAAGCGAGCAAGCAAAACAGGCAGAGGCTGCCCTCCTGTCTCCCCCACCCGTAGTATGCCTCGCAGAGCCCATGGCCTCCGTACACACGGAGGAGAGTGAGGCAGCCCCAGCCGCTCCTCACGTCATCCGTTGAGAGAGAGACGACGGGCCTCGACACGGCGAGGAGCAATAATTCTAACGAGCCAAGATGGCGGCGGACACGGTGGCCCTGTCCGCACTCACGCTCGCCAGGGGCGACAAGATCCTCGTGACCGTCGAGTCCGCGCTACCGGACATCGTTGTCGTGTCCTTCGTTCACGGTGCCAAGTGCTTCCAGGGCGCGTTGCTTGACGCCACCAAGAGGTAAGCGTGCTTGCTACGAGATCTCTTTCCTGCCTTCGACTCTTCTTCCTTCCTCTTCTTCTTCTTTTTCTTCGTCCTCTTCTTCTCCTCCTTCGTACCGTACTTTTGTTCGTTCGGGCGAATCTCGCCCTTATTTAACCGTGCCAGGGAACGTATCGCTTCGAATTTGTTTTGACCGATTGTCGGTCGAAGGAAGTTCCTAGCAAGCATGTCATGCCGTTGCTCGCAGTCAACGTTCCGGTCCGATTGTTTGTCGTGTGCATATGTATACCGTGTTTTATCGTGAACATAACATCGTGTGCGCGGGTGTGTACGATAATGTGTGTACCTGTGTGCGTGTGTGCGTGGAAACGTGTAAGATAAGGCAAGGAACACGGAACAGAATCGTTGACGAATTTCGAGTTCGAGATATCGCGGTTAAGGCTATCCGCATTTCTGACCGACGGACCGCGTTGGAAACTTGCCGTGGACTACACCGTGCTTGACTGATAGTCGTGACAGTCTTCAGGTGCAGGCAGGAAATTATGGGATGCAAGTATGTTGTAAATAGGTTCGAATTCAAATGGATACACTTGAAAGCATACCTAAATCTTAAAGAGGTAGGTTTCATTCTTCGATAACTTTACAGGATAATTGAACCTCGACAACAAGTATTTTACGAGTAGTTTGATAGTTGATCCTCTTCAACGTGCGTACAGATAAGTCCACGATAGGTAGCGAAATTGTAGTGTTATGTCTTTACTATTTTCACTTTTAGGATTCAAGTATCGCTACTGTTACGAGAATCATTTAAATCATAATATATCTGTAAGAATGTTAGAATCCTACAAGTATTCTAAGGGTGCGTTCAGATTAAGCGAATGCTTCCCCCACTTCGCCAAAATTTAACCGTAAAGGAGCATTCTTCCGCTGCCTGGCGATTGCCCGTTGAATCGTATGCCTAAAAAATGTTCCAACAGTTAAAACGTTTGTTCGTCAAATCAACGAGTCGCGATTTGATTTAACGCGATTCATCTCGATTCAATTCGACGCGGTTCAATCCGGTGTATTTCAATTTGGCGCAATCCAATTCGGTATGTTTTAATTTGGCGCGTTTCAATTTCGCATCATTCGGCATGAATAGATTCCCTATTTGCAAAGTGTGTAACATTTTCATAAAAAATGTATCCATGATTTTAACATCCAAGTATCGCGATCTCTTTATTATTCTGTCGTGTTGGTAATTCCACTCGTCCCTCGAGCTGGACGCAGTACGAAGGACCGTGATTTAACTCGTAAAACGTTAATACTTCCGGTCGACAAGGGCGAAAGGAGGATCTTGCGAATACGATCGCAGGAGTGGTCGGCCGAGGGGAAAAAATATATTTCCACAATTTTCAAGATTTTTCCTTGAATCGGGGCTGATAGTCGGCCGTTGGCGGTTACGTGCTTTGCATGTCGTAAGTCTTCTCGTAAAGCAGCTTTTGTTCTGCAAACGGAAGTAGTTTTACGATGACTCGTGTCTTGCGATTTACACCCGACAAACTCCCGTTGGGGAGAGTTTTACGGTCGTGCACGAAGGTATCCTTTATTAAAATTCCATTCATTTGTCTTCCGCTATTTTTCAGCCGAATATTGCTCTAATTTTCACACTAGATTATAAAAATATGTGAATAGTAAGAGTTAGTTCCTCCTATTTAAATTTGCCGCCATTTTGTTCTAATGACGTACTTACTGGAAAGATGAAATTTTTTGTACAACAAAAAATTAATGAATGTTAAGGATTAATTATGTCAGACAGATCTGCACTTTTTATTCTCCGTTTTTCCGCTATTTTATTATAGATTCATTAACGTTTACGTCTTCATTATCAGGTAGTTTATAATTACGCTGTTTATGACGGTTATATAGCTAAGCCGAATGTGGGATCTCTTAGCGTTTGTACGTGAATTTAAGCATATCCTGATCTGCGATTGTTCCACGTTTTATTGTATGCTCACAGAATTATATTCTATCTTTTTACTGCCGGTAAAATTATAATTTGTGTGAATCAACCGGAGAATACAGTTTCGATAAACTATGATTCTGAAACTTTCGCATGATTAAATTATAAACAGTGCAGCCATTTTTCTTTTATTATTATTTTGTTTGCAAATTTTTTATTTTACAAATGATCAGTGATGGACTTCTTCATATAAAAATTTGCAAATTTTTTATTTTGCAATTTTTTTATTCTGCAAATTTTTATTTTATTTTTTACTTTGTTCTAATATTTTTTATAATAAAAATATATTTTGTTATCTATCATTTTTCTCACGTATAAGCAACTTTTTGCCACTTTCTCGAATAATCGTTATTAAAATCATTTATTTCTTGCGATAGGTGAATAATTAGCCACGAGTTTGAAAAAGGCTTCGACACAATGATTCATGCTATTCGCTAACGCTACCTAATTCGTACAGTCATTGCTGATTTCACTTTATCACGGTGAAAATATTCTGTTTGCCGTGGAACTGTTTAAAACTGTCGAGGATCAACGTCGTGCTAACGAGTTGCGATATTTCTTATAAACATTTTAATTCATCAAGTCTTCGTTCTTAATTGCTCGACGTATACCGAGACGTGATTTTTCAGATTTCGGATGAATAATATGTTTATTCGTAGACGGTATAATTATTTTGTTTTCTAATTGCTGCTAGATGTTCCAGAGATAATTTTAACTTCATTTGTGTATCTATTCATTACATCGGTAATTTAATTCCTGCAACGTGAATTTATGTTTGCATGTAATTTGATGTGCTACAAAGTAGACATAATTAAAACATGCACTTTGGTAAAATAGTTTGATGATATGACTCATACGGTGCGTCATAGTATCGCACACATATGACGCACGTGGTGCGTCTATTTAATACAAAGCCGCGATTCTCGAATTAATTTCACGTTCGAAACGATCGAATAAGAAATAAAAAGTTCGAAACTCCGAGAAATAATTAAAGTAATTACCATCGTTATCTAACGCGTCAATAAATAATGGATTTACTTAAATAAAAATAAATCAACGTTGTCCAACGTTCAAGCGGTTTACCAATTCTAATAACTAGAAAATTATTCGAGGTTTCCATCAGATCTCCACAAGATTTCGATCAAAGTCTCCACTGTTTAATTGCACTAATATAAACGTCTGTATTGCAACATATGGTCGAGTGATAAGAAGTCGTGCAATAATCTCGTTCTCTTCATCGTGCAACGTGGCATCTTGAGCTACGAAGAATACGCCGTAACGAGCAATTTCTGCTTCGTAGAATAATTTCGGGTATTCCGAAGGCAGGAGAAGAGGGACGAATATTAATATAATTTTCGATCGACCCAGTCTCTCCCTTTTCTCTCTCGTCTCTTCTGCGCTCTTAAAAATTTCGACCTGTTCTTTCGTCCTCGCGGTCTCCAATCGAGACTAGAATTTTCCGTGACACACATATTCCTCCACCCAGTTTTACATTGTACGGTTTTCAGTTGAACAATCTCTCTTCAGTTTTCATATTTCTCTTTTATCGATGTTCTATTTTTACTATGGTTTTTCAAGCATTTAATCGTATGCACGTGTCTTTTGATTAGGTCTGAATTATGGTGCATTAGGTACATTTTTTGCTGCATTGGTCAGTGCATTCATATGTGTGACGCACGTGGTGTGTCATCTGCTGTATCGAATCTGTCAACATAGGAACAAAAATACATGTGCATATTGCATCAAGAGATACACATATTTCTAAATTTCTAGGTTTCCTTGTCTCAATGTACATGACGCACGTGGTGCGTCATATGGTGTATCCAAACTGTCGATATAAAAACCAAGATACAAAGAAGGTGGAACGCATAAAATGCAGTGTAGTGAAGTATTTGAGTAGGACGCACTACGTGCATCATCTTTTAAATACAGAGAAGGTAGAATGTATAAGGTGCAGAGTAGTGAAGTATTTAAGTAGGACGCACCTCGTGCGTCATAGTTTGAATACACAGAAGGTGGACAATATAAAGTACAGCGTAATGGAATAATTAAGTAGAATGCACCATGTGCGTCATCTTTTGAACACAGAGAAGGTAGAACATATAAGGTGCAGAGTAGTGAAGTATTTGAGTAGGACGCACCAAGTGCGTCATCGTTTGAATACACAGAAGGTGGACAATATAAGGTACAGCGTAATGGAGTAATTAAGTAGAATGTACCATGTGCGTCATCGTTTGAACACAGAGAAGGTAGAACGTATAAGGTGCAGCGTAGTGAAGTGTTTGAGTAGGACGCACCTCGTGCGTCATCTTTTAAATACAGTGAAGGTGGACCATGTAAGGTACAATGTAGTGAAATATTTGAGTAGGACGCACCTCGTATGTCATTATTTAAATACAGAAAAGGTAAAACATATGAGTCGTAACGTAGTGAAGTATTTGAGTAGGACGCACCTCGTGCGTCATTCTCCCAAATAAGCAGCATAAGTCATTCATCGAATATATAGTATAAAACGTAAATAGTTGTGCTCCGAAACATATACTTTTCGCCAGTGGATGAGCAAATTTGTATTTTTCGCAGCGAACTCCCGGTGATCGATGGCCGTGCACCTACGTATTAGCTGGCTCCCTGGCGCTGCCCATAATAAAAAGGAACCACGCTGCTCGCGTTCCGACGCTTTTTTCCATTACGTAAGCATATCATCGCGACGCTAATAATACTGCGGTGTCTCTTCACGTATCCTGTCACGAAATTCCTGATAGCCGGTGAAATTCGACCTCGGGAATGCTCGTACATACTTTGAAATTCCGAAATTTTCTACTTCTTTCAAATTCTCAAATCCTTGAAATCTTCACTCGAGCTTCGAATTCGAAAACTCTTGAGTTTAGCAATTTTCGAAACTCCAACTCTGCAAAACTACAATTTTTAGATTTTAAGGTTGATGAACTTGAACAGGTCTTCACTTGAGAGTCTCTCGGTTAATAAACGAGTGCAGAGTGACTTCCTAGGTTTGCGT